AAACATAACCAGTTTTCCTTTGCTTGGGATTCTCCCTTCGCTTTGTGATTTGTGGGTGCACAGTGAAAGAACCTGAAACCAAGAGAAAGATAGAATCATAGAATCATAGAGTTGGAAGAGACCACAAGGGCCATCGAGTCCAACCCCCTGCCAAGCAGGAAACACCATCAGAGCACTCCTGACATATGGTTGTCAAGCCTCTGCTTAAAGACCTCCAAAGAAGGAGACTCCACCACACTCCTTGGCAGCAAATTCCACTGTCGAACAGCTCTTACTGTCAGGAAGTTCTTCCTAATGTCTAGGTGGAATCTTCTTTCTTGTAGTTTGGATCGATTGCTCCGTGTCTGCTTCTCTGGAGCAGCAGAAAACAACCTTTCTCCCTCCTCTATGTGACATCCTTTTATATATTTAAACATGGCTATCATATCACCCCTTAACCTTCTCTTCTCCAAAGTGGAATCTTCTTTCTTGTAGTTTGGATCCATTGCTCCGTGTCCGCTTCTCTGGAGCAGCAGAAAACAACCTTTCTCCCTCCTCTATGTGACATCCTTTTATATATTTAAACATGGCTATCATATCACCCCTTAACCTTCTCTTCTCCAGGCTAAACATGCCCAGCTCCCTTAGCCGTTCCTCATAAGGCATCGTTTCCAGGCCTTTGACCATTTTGGTTGCCCTCCTCTGGACACGTTCCAGTTTGTCAGTGTCCTTCTTGAACTGTGGTGCCCAGAACTGGACACAGTACTCCAGGTGAGGTTTGACCAGAGCAGAATACAGTGGCACTATTACTTCCCTTGATCTAGATGCTATACTCCTATTGATGCAGCCCAGAATGCATTGGCTTTTTAGCTGCCGCGTCACACTGTTGGCTCATGTCAAGTTTGTGGTCAACCAAGACTCCTAGATCCTTTTCACATGAAAAGAAAGCTTATTCCTTTTCACATGAAAAGAAAGCTTATTCCTCTTTCAGCTATGCATATGGAAGCAAAAACGAGTTTTCCTTTCTTAGGGATTCTTTCACTTCGCTTTGCTGTTTTTGTGTGCAAGGCCAGAGAACCTGAAACCATGTCAAAGCCCAATCAAAGCTTATTCATTATTTTCTTTGCAAGGTGACAAAAAAACAATGGCTTTTGCTTTGTTTGGACTTTTCGTTTTGCGATTTTGGGGTGAATATGCGTACACAATCAGAACACAAGTTAAATAAACGTCTTTATATGCATATGGGTGTGCATATTGAAACAAAGTGAACCTGTTTTGCTTTATTTGGCCTTCTTTGTTTTGCCATGTATGGGTGAATATGCGTGCACACCCAAAAAAACCCGAAACCAAGATAAGCCCAAACAAAATTTATTCGTCTTCTTACGACGCATATGCAACAAAAAACAGCCTGTCTCTCTCTCTCTCATTCTCTCTCTTTCCCCTTCTCTCTCTTCCTTCCCTCTCTCTCTGTCCTTCCTTCCTTGCTTCGTCCTTCCTCCCTTCTCTCTCTCTCTTTCCTTCCTTCCTTCGTCCTTCCTCTCTTCTCTCTCTCTTTATCTTTCTCTCCTCTTTCTCTCTCTTCCCTTCAATCTTTCTCTCCCTATCGCTTTCTCTCTCTCTCCCTTCCTTCCATTTTTCTATCCCCATCCTTCCATCTCTCTTCTCTCTTTCCTTCCTTCTCTCTCTCTTTCTCTTCCTTTTTTTTTCTCTCTCTCTCCTCTTCCTTCCTTCTTTCCATCTCTCTCCCTTCCATCTCTCTCTCCCCTTCCTTCCACCCTCTCTTTCTCTCTCTCTTTCCCTTTCTCCCTTTCCTCTTCCTTCCTTCTCTCTCTCTCTCTCCTTCCTTCCATCTATTTTTCCTCTCTTTTCCCCTTTCTCTCCCCTTCCTTTCGCTCTCTCCTCTCTTTCTCCCTCCAATTCTCCCTTTCTCTCCCTCTCTCTTTCTTTCCTTTTTCTCTTTCTCTCACCCCTTCCTTCCTTCCTGCGCTCATTCCTTCCCTCTCTCATTCTCTCTCTCACCCCTTCCTTCCTTCTCCTGAGCTGTTGAAGGCTTTCTCCATTAGAAGTAGCCCTTGGAATTGGGTGCAGCTGGTGCTGTCAAGGTAGGATCTGTGTCAGATGCTGAATCTGTCTTGCCCCGGTTAGCAACCTGGCTGCCAACTTCTGCACTGGCTTAAATGTCCAAAGCGTCTTCGGAGGCAAGATGCGGACCTTGAGGCTGTCCAGCTGTCACGGCTTTCCCTGTCCGGGGGGGGGGGCAGCTGGGTCTCCAGTCGAAGTGGAGGGAAGGCCACAGAGGCCCCCCGGCCTCAAGCAAGGACCCTGAAGCAAGGGACCCCCCTCCTTCCGACAAAGGGTCAGCCGAGGAAGAGCTGCCCACTAGGGTTGCCTTATGATGGGCAAGAGAGCGAAATCATTCAAGGATGAGGCACAGAGAATTTCCTTTAGACTTCTTTCTAGTTTTGCCAAGCCTGCTCCTGTCCCTCTAATAGGAGACTGATCTTCAGATATCAGAAAGTCAAGCTTTAGCTGGCTATAAATTATTGGGTTGTCTTTGTTTTTATTATGTATTTTGTGTTTTTTTATTTTGTTTATCTGATGCTGTGAACTGCCCTGAGATTTATGGGTAAGATTTATGGGTATATGTCAAGGCTGCCTCAGGTCTCAGCTCACAAAAGACCAACGCCAATCTCTTCTTACATACAAAAGTGTTTATTGCAGTTCATTGTTTGCTTCATATCCGAGGCGCGCAGCCTCACGTCTGTACGCTTAGACCGTTGAAGTCCCCTCTGAGTCAGTCCCTCCCCTGCACCAGTTTAAGAGCCTTGCGCTGCTCCACCTCTTTCTCTCTTTCCTTTTCCTCAGGGTCTTCCTACCCGCTGGGGTTTCGCCCCTCCTGGATTCCCCTGACGCGCTATCCCCCGACTGCTCTTCCCCCCTCCTGCGGGCTTTAGGACCTGGCCCTTCCTCCGGGCTCCCTGTACTTCCGCGCGCCTCTACATTTGAACTTGGCGCGCGCGCCCAACCTCTAACTTTCCTTTTGACAGTTACACTACTCCCTTCACTACTCCCCTCCCCTTCCGGGAGGATGGCTTGCTCTGACCTCCCTCCCTTCTCTGCTGCCGGAGCTGCTTCCCCTGATACACTGGAACCTCCACCCCCTTCACTGCACTCTGGTGGGGAGGCTGGTCCTGACGCCCAGCTGCCACTTTGGGATCCCCCGCTGGCCCCCTGCTCCTGACACGTCCCCCCTGGGGCTCCCCTGGCCTTGACCACTGGCGCCCCCTTCTGGGAATCCTCTGATTCGCTGGAAAGACTCATGGAATCTCTTGAGTCATCCTCGCTGTCCTGGGATTCACCCCCATCGCTCTCCATCTCCTCCCTACCCTGTGCCTCTGTCCCTGACAGTATACAATTGTTGTTGTTGTTGTTGTTGTTGTTATTTTGTAAACTTCAAAAAAAGAAGCCAGGGCCGTTTGATAATAATCTGCCAAAATAACGGTTAGCAACCAGAGGCAGCTAGTTTTAATGGTCTTATCAGATCTTCTTCTCCATCTTTTTCAAATATTTCTAATCTTTCAACTCTTTCCAATCCTCAGTGGGAAAAGAAAATGAAAGCTCACCTCACCAGTGTTTCTAGGGGACCCAAGCACCTGGAGGTCACAGCATTATGGGTGAAAGGATGTCAGTGGCAAGGAGGCCTGGGACAATGGGCCAGGTGTTTGCATGTGCCCCCCAGTTCAACTACAGCCTCCACTGGGTTTTCCAGAAGCCATGCGAGATTTTTCAGCCAAGCAGGTCAAGGCAATGTTATTATTACATTGATTAAACTAATTTTATTAAATTTCTATGACACCCCTCATTGGGGGACAATATGCTTGTTTCACCTCTGCACTCTAAGTTATGGGTGGCCTTTCTCTCTTGCCAGCATTGTATATTGGAAACAAAAAATGCCCAGTTTGAAATTATTATTATAATTATTATACATTTATTTGTACCCTGCCTTTTTCCCTGATGGGAACCCAAGGCAGTTTACGGATGAAAAGAAGACAAGCTAAAACCTGGGCGGGGATCTACAATTAAAAAGCAATTAAACACTGATAGAATTAAAACTGTGTGTGTATACATATAAATATCTTGTAAAACCAAACTAATAATGGCAATAAAAACAGCACAGCAGAAGGCCTTTCATTAAAAGCACATTTTTATTTTATATTGATGTATACTTCACTAATTGTAGAGTTGGAAGGGACCCCAAGGGTCATGCAGGAATCTTTCGCGCAACATGGGACTCAAACCCATGAATCTTGGTCAAAATTTTAGGCCTTTATAGTGCAATCCTATACACATTCTCTCAGAAGTTCTTTGAAGTTCAGTGAGTTTGATTCCCAGGCATAGCCCCGCAGCCTTCCAGCAAAGGCTCCTCTGTGTGTTGGAATTTATATATATAGTTGTAAAGTATTTTGTACTTCTTTGATTTTACCACCCGAGGGATTGATATAGGCACAAAAGGCCTTATGATCTTCAGATGGACAGCAACTCCGTTGAACCTGTGTTCCTGTGGTGGAATCTAAAAATGAAAACACTTTTTCAAAAAAAAGGTGTTTTGAAGAATATATTGAATTTGCCATAACCTCACAATTGCCATCTAGTGTCACATTTGTATAATGCACCTTCAAACATTATATTTGCAGCCGTAGAGCTGAGTCTGGTGTCCTGGGCAAGGGTGGTTGGGATCCCAGGGTAAATATAAGGCGCAAGATCTTCTAGCACCACAAGTTTTTGCAAGTGGTCTCTATGAAAAGCCAGTCATGTGTTGTGCTGAGACTTATAGTTTAGGGGCAAACTACAGTTCCCATGATTCTTCGGGGGTGGAGTCATGTGCTGTAATGTTATGCCATGTCCACAGCCACTAACCGCAACAAAGAGGAATACTTTCTGGTGAATTTTCCTTAAATTGTCTCGTCTCAATTATATTTTTAGCATTTCTCTTGAAATTTTTTATTGATTTGACATTTGTTTTAAATACAGAACGTAATCCAGTGTTTAATCCAGAAGCCGGCCAGCTTTGGTGGAAAGATTAGCAGAGCAAATATTAGCACTGCTCGATCCAAGGAATACTTGGAGGCTTTTAAACCAAGCCCGGTCAGAGAGCAGATACTGTACGGTGTGAAAACCCCTATGAAGAAAAAGAGAAAGGTCAGAGCACTTTCCATTGGGAGTTTCCCAGTTTGGGAGAGAGCAGGAAAGCAAAGGTCCTTTTGTAGTCCAACCCTCTGCAAGGGAAGAATCTTTGCCCCTCAAACCCAGGACTTTGAGATGGAAAGTCTCCTGCTCTGCAGACTGAGCTGTCCCAGTGATTTTCAGCGTCTGGGCATGCGCAGAAGCAATTTCCAGAGCCGCAGACACGCACAGATGTGATTTCTGTGGGAGTGATCTGGCCCATGGCCCTGGGTTAGGGTTAGGATTTTGTTAGGGGTAGAGTTCCCTTCTTGCCAGGGAACCCTGGGAACATGGGGCTCAAAGGATGGCCCTGAGATTAAGAGTCTTGTGCTCTGCCCAATGAGCTATATTGATTGATCTAAATAACAAACACTATTTTTATTATTTAATAATTTACAGTGATGTAAAATAAAGGGCAATATAAATAAATAAATAAATAATCCCTCAACTGCCAAAACAAATGGTCTTGTAGCACTGTAAAAACGTAACAGATTTTGGGGAAACTTTTTTAAGAGGGGGCCTTGGTGAGTGCTAAGAGGGTGCCATGGAGTCCACGTGCCACCCTGGGAACCTCAGTCTGGACCCTAATGATGAAGCAAATCACCAGTCCCTACATAATGGGAACGCCATGTGTAACATTAACCCCACAAGAGAGGTTGGTCTTTGTTCTCGCCTGGGAGCGGAGCGATTGAGAGAGTGAGGAGGTGCAGGCTCCCAGAGTGAGGAGGTGAGAAATGCTCCCAGGTTGTTCTTGTTGCAGTTCAAAGGCCTGGGACGTGCCTCCTTCGCATCCAGCTCCCCAACGCCACTTTGCACGACACCCACCTCCCAAAGAAGAGAATTACAGAGTCTCAAGTGCCTTCCATTTCGGGAGAAACTTCTCAAAGGAATATTTGCTCCCTTACAGGTTAACGGGTGACCTCTCCCTTCTGTTTTAGCTGATTCTGGAAAAACAAAACACCATGGGTAAAATTTTCTGTGCTGGATTGTTGATATTCTCCTGTGTTTTGGCAGGTGAGTTTATCAGAGTGTTAAATAAATTTATCCCAGCAACACAAATGAGGGATGTGGTTATTTAGCAAACGCAGGGGAGTTTTCCTATTTGTTCCTATTTCCTATTTGTTCTTTGACTGTTTGTGCATTAAATTGTGCAAAGATGTGATTTCTCCAGGCCAATGAGACCTGGCCTGGAGAAAGTGGATAGAGGAAAGTTTTCTCCCTCTCATAACGGTAGAACTCACAGAGCTGGACGCTGGAAGATTCAGGACACATCAAAGAAAGGAAGTACTTCTTTACAAAGCGCACATTATGGAACTTCCTGCCACAAGAGGCAGTGGTGGCCACCAACTTGCAACTTCCGCTCAGGATTTTCCCCAGGGTAAGCCCCATTTCAGCCAGCATACTCTGCACCCTCCTCAAATGCTTTGGCCTGGTTGGGAGGTTTCCTGGTGTTAACGGAAAATTTCGAGGGCTCCCTTGGACAAAAACAAAGACACCAACCAGGATAACTTGGAGCAAAACAGCAGCCTGTAGGCTTGGCCTTTATTGATCTGTTGCAACAGGGTGCTCCCCTCACTTGCAGGAGAGAGGAAGGACCCAGAAAAATGGTGTGCAAGACCTTATAAAGACTTTTGAAATTGCCACCTTGTAGATCAAGGACACCCCCAGAAACATACATCACAGAAAGGAGGGGTTGAGGGAGGAGTTGTGTCCTGTCTCTTGGCTGGTTCCCCCTTTCCTCCCATGTGTACTTTCCAGGTGACAGAGGGGAGTTTGCAGTTTCCTGCCCCCAGAGGGAAGAGCTGATTATTGTCCTTTGTTCCAGTCGGTGCCGAATCCACTCCCATATGCAAGTTCTTTGTGATCTTGATGGTCTTCTGTCTAGGACCATCAGGGTTGGCATAGCAACTGGGCAGGGCTCCTGTGTATGTGCTGGTATGCTGAAGGGATTATGGCTGCCCTGTATCAAACCTTCCCCATTTTGTAGTCCTTCCTTCATGGAGTAAAATAAAAGTGGAACAGTGCAAATCCGATGTATGGTTGATTTTCTATGAATTTATAACAGAAGTGTAGCGTATGTAGTGTGTGTGTGTGTGAAGTTTGTACAAACTGAATGATTGGGGGGGGGGTTCCTGCGACACTGGTAACCCCCTCCCTTCTGGTGGTGCCAATGTTCCCCTGGCCTTGAATGCCCCCTTGACCGCTCACCGCAACCCCATTCATCTCCACCGTTGCCACAGTCCTCAGTGCGGGCAGGGGCCATGCAGCCGCTTGGCAGGCACGGCTCACTTGGGGCGCAGCTCCAGGGACCTGGAAATGTTGGGAGGATTAATGGGTTGCCTCCAAGCAACCTATCTGGTTGGCCAGGTTTTGGGGAGGCGGAAAATAAAGCTTTACTTTGGGGGCGACAGTTCCTGAACTACACGTTGTCCAGTGCCACACTCATCACCGAGAAGGTCACCTGCGCTCTTGACATGCTCCAGATAAGGAGCGGCCGGGGAGGGTGAGGAGCCCAAGACCCACCTGGAAAGCACTGCGGATTCTTCCGGTGTAGGCCAGCAGGGGGCACCTGAGGGTGACGCAGGGCTTCGCCACAGGGGACAATCTGGCTTCCGAGGCTCAGCTCCACTGGGAAGCTCCCGTTGAGTCCTGCAGGGTGAGGAACCAGGGGTCATCTAGCCTGACCCTTGCAGATGGGAACCATAGATATATAAACATTTTTATCGGTCAGCTGCCAGGAATCCCAAAGGGGGACGGGAAGCAGGGCATCAGTAAATTTCATGATAAGAATGATATTTCATTATGCCGGCCCTACCAGGCGGGTCAGTAGTCTGGAAATCAATAAATAATAATTATATGATATCACCACGGTATGTCCTGCAGCTTAGAAATGTAATATGTGATATCAATATGGAATTACGACAACTGTGCCTCGTGGCATTTCCTCCACACAGGGAAAAAGGCCAAGCACATGGCTCTGCGCCTGTTGGATTTCTGACCACCAGTGCCCCAAGCTTACCTTTCTCGGCCATACTGTACCAGGTGCGGAGTTCACAGGCTGTGGCCGCGTCACTCATGGTCAGGGAGCGGAGTCAGGTGGCTTGGTTCGCTGCTCCGAGGTGCTCATGTACCAGCCTGGTTGGGGGGCACCAGGTCAAAGGGGTGCTCTAACTGCTTAGCAATGCTTCTCTGCCTTTCAAATGAAGCAAGTTTACCCTGGTCAGTGCCCATGCTGACGTCCTCCCAGCTGCAGGCGGTGCCTTCAAAGTCGCAGGCCAAGGCGACACTCGGCGGTGCCAGCCCATTGGTTCCCAGAGTTCAGGGCACCAAGTGCTGTTCCTCCCATGAACTACAGTTCCCAGAGTTCCCTAGGAAGAGAAATGGGCTTGGGACGGCAAGGAGTTGTATACTGTGGAATGCAAGGACAGATTGTTTACTGTTCAGATGCCACAACCCTCAACACCCAGAGCAAGCAATAGTTCCCAGGGTGCTTTGGGGGGACATTGTGGTAACTGTAGTTTGTTCCGTTTCCCAAAGAGACCCTGTCAGAGCTATAACTCCCAGAGTTCCCTTGGGAAAGGTTGCGCAGAATATTCTCTCCCCCCATAGGAAACTACAGTTCCTATGCTTTGAGAGATGCCGTGATGGGTTAAATACTATCTGCGAGGGAATTGAAGCACATCTCCTTAATTCCTTTGGTGACGCCAAAACTGGTGTCAATGGATCTTGTCAGAGCAATCCCAGCGGTCTTTGGTGACGCCAAAACTTACCACAATGGATCTTGTCAGAACAATGCCAGCAGGCGAAATTGCAGGTGCCAGCACTTAGGTTCCCGGAGGCGGCCCAGCTAGGAAAAAACCGGGGGAAGTGTCATTAAAAGGAGAGGAAGAGAGACAGGGAGCATGGGATACATGAAAGGGGCATCAAGGGGCATCTAGTCCAACCCACTGCAAGGAAGCTCATATGTATTTTAGGGCACTGTTTTGTGAAGTATTCTCTGTTTTTCCCCATGCTTTTGAAACTCTTTGTCTAGTGTGATCTCTAATTGCCTCTGTTAATCTAGCCAGTTCAATATACTCTAACAGTTTGTCTTGCCATTCCGTTTTTGTTGGCACAGCTTCTTTTTTCCAGTTTTTAGCAATTAGGATCCTTGCCACTCCTGTGGCATAGAGGAATATTTTCTGATCTTCTCTTGCTATACCTGTGTCCGTTATCCCTAGTAGAAAAGCTTCTGTATTTTTCAGTTATACTAAAACATTTTTTTAAGCTTGTCATAGTGTTTCCACTTTTTTGGAGCAGGAATTCAGCAGAGCCCATACAGACCTGAGAAATATCAGTGGGACAGGTTTCTTTCAGAAAAACTGAAAGAGGGGTCCATGTAAAAACAGGCATAGGATATATCAAGCTCAAATTGCAGTGCAAGGAGTAATAAAGTACCGTATTTTTTGCCCTATAGGACGCACCTTTTCCCCTCCAAAAATGAAGGGGAAATGTGTGTGCGTCCTATGGGGCAAATGCAGGCTTTCGCTGAAGCCTGGAGAGCGAGAGGGGTCGGTGCGCACCGACCCCTCTTGCTCTCCAGGCTTCGGGCAGATATCCGCAAGCCTGGGGAGACCGGCGCGACTTCCTGCCAGGCTCCCAAGGCTTGCGGACAGCAGCCTGCAGCCCGAAACCCGGGAGCGCAGCCTGGGGGAAAATAATTTCCCCCCCTTTATTTCCCCCCCCCAAAAAAACTAGGTGCGCCCTATGGGCCAGTGCGCCCTATGGGGCGAAAAATACAGTTTACAGGGAAGTGAGACTACTGTGCCATCATACGACTAACTTAAATGAATGCTATTTCTATTATTTCTGAAGCATTTTCCAAAGAATCCTGTGATGGTCATCAAGTCCAGCTCGCTGCAACCCAGGAATATGCAGGTGTCACAACCTTCTGCTCAAAGGTGATTGAATTTAATTGCTAGATGTTGCACTTTTAAATGACACTTTCAGGGATATTTAGGTATAGGATCCACACCTTCTCCTGCAGCTGCAAGTTATGCCATGAAGGACACCTTGCAATCAGTTTACTGACTGGAAGCAGAGTTTACTGACTGACTTACAGCCTTCCCAGGAGCATTTCAACAGTCAGGAGCAGACCTGAAGCCTTCAGGGTGATTGCACATTGCTAACAACATTTATACCTCCAGCAAAAGGGGGGGGGGGGGAATGAGGCTCATGAATGTAGAAAGTGCTTTTCTTTAGAGCACCTCTTAACATTGCAAAGTGCTGCAAGTGTCCAAAACTGGTCTGAAGTTGCTGTTTTGTAAATATTATTTCTGCTTTTGAAAATCTTAACAACACAAATGGCTTTTGGGGCTGCCCACTATAGCAGGGGCTGATCCCCATTTATTCTTGTGGCATTCAATTCAAGGTATGTGTTTTGACTTTACTTGGCTAGTGTGGATAAATCTGGAGGAATTCCCTGGTTCCAAAACCACTGATGGAAGCAATGGTTCGTCTGAGCAAATTAAATTTTCAGCACATTGCTTGATTAGGCTCACAAAAGCTGTCTAAGGGTTAAATGCAATAGAGATCTCAAGCCAATTACTTGGGAGTTGCTGAGAAATGGGGAAAGGAGACAGGGCCGGGGGGTGTTTCTCCCCAAAATAGAATAAATAAAAAACCTCTACTGTTAAGGGTTAGGGGAGACGAGACTAAGCCCCAAATGTTCTTTTTAGGCATTTTTAAAGGGCTTTACAGCCTTTAAACGCTTCTGGGAGGGAAGGTTATTGGTGTTTTTAAAAACTATTTACAGATATTTCTACCCCGTCTTTTTATCCTGTGAACCGCCAGATAAATCCACTATAGTAAATAACAATAAAAGACAACACCCTGCGTCGCCGTTAATTCGGTTCTGCCCCCCCCCCCCAGCCTTTAAAATGAATTTTGACCAAGGGTTCCCCGGCCGCGCATGCAGGCCACACATTTCCCCCTCAACGAAGCAGGCAAAGGGGCAAAGAGGACTCGCCCTCCGGGGCCAGCGGCTACCCGTGGACCGCGAGCTCCGGCTGGTGGCAAACACGGAGAGGATCCTACCTCGGAGAGGAAAGGGTTAGCTAATCCGCCCAGCGATTTGCCCAGATCCGTGAGAAGTTCCGCCTATTGCCGCCGACGTCCCTCTCCCCCCATCTTTCAAAATGGAGGCGCTTCCGGCATCTATTTCCCTGACACAAAATGGCGCCGCTGGCAACAACCGCCATAAATGGAGGCGCTTCCGGATATTAATTCCCTCATCCAAAATGGCTACGGTAACATTATCCGCCCTTTTCCACTTCCGGGCAGCCATTTCCCTCTTCAAAAATGGCACCCGCAGCCTCTCCACATGCAGTCCCCCCATCCTGGCTATTCTGTTTCCGCCCTTTTTTGCCATTCTTCTTCCATCCTCCGTGCCTCTCCTAAAATGGCTGCAGAGGGCGCCTCCTGAGCTCCGGCTGCTGACTTTTCTCCACCTCCTCTTCTCCCTCCCTCCTTCTCCTTCACCTTTTCGGAGCAGGAATTCAGCAGTGCCCATACAAACCTAAGAAATATCAGTGGGACCGATTTCCCCCCCATCCACAAGAACAGAAAGAGGAGCCCCGTGTAAAAACAGGCATAGCATATGTCAAGCTCAAATTGCCATGCAAGAAATAATAAAGTTTCAGAGGGACCACCTCGCCATGTGAGCTAACTTAAAAGAATGCCCCCCACCGTTTATTCTTTCTGAAGCACTTTCCAAAGAATCGTATAATATAGCTGAAAGGGACCCGAAGGGTCATCCAGTCCAACCCGCTGAAAGGCAGAAATATGCAGGTGTCCCTTACACAGAACAACGTCACAACCTTGTGCTCAAAGGTGATTGAATTTAATTGCTAGATGTTGCACTCTTAAATGGCACTTTAAGGGATATTTAGGTATCCAATTATGCCACGAAGGACACTGGGAGCAGAGGAAGTGCTGCTTGCTTCCCAGCCACTCACTCTTAAGCACAGCTACTTGCTCTAACCACTGGACAATGCTTCCCATTAAGTCACTCTAACAATTAGGCAAAGCTTCCCAGTCCCTCGCTGTAACCACTAGGTAATGCTTCCCAGCCACACGCTCTAACCACTTGTAAACCCCAACCCTAAACCCTAACCCAACCCCAACTCTAACCCTAGCCCTAAACCGAGCCCTAACTCCTAACCCTAAACCTGTACCCTAGACCCTGAGCCTAACCCTAACCTAACCCTAACCCGCAACCCCTACCCCTTAACCCTAGCCCTAACCGAAACCCAAACATTAAATCCTAAATCCTAACCCTACACCCCTATCCTAGACTCTGACCCCTAACTCTAAACTCTAAATCCTAACCCTAACCGCAAACATTAAACCCTTAAACCCTAGGGGTTGGCAACGTGCGGCCCATGGGCCAGATGCGGTTTTACCGACCCACGAGCTGCCCGCAAACCAAGCCGCCTGCTCGGCAAGTCCCCTGTGCACTGCGCTAAAGCAGCACACCACAGCGCAGGGACTTACCAAGTGGCACTGGAAATGGTGTCTGCGTACACGCAGATACCAGAAATCACGTCTGTGATTGTCCAGACACTATTTTCGGCGTTTGGGCATGCACAGAAGCGATTTCCAGCGCTATGGACATGCGCAGACACCATTTCCGACATCGCGCTGCGCCAGTCCAGCCCACAGATGATCTCTGTGGAAGTGATCCGGCCCATGGCAGGTGAAGCTTGCCAACCCCTGCCCTAACCTAACCTAACCTAACCTAACCCCAACCCTAAACCGAACCCTAACCCCAAACCCTAAATTGTAAACCCTGATCCAAACCCTAGACCCCTGACCCTAACCCTAGACCCTAACCCTAAACCAGGGGTCAGCAAACTTTTTCAGCATCGGGCCGGTCCACTGTCCCTTAGACCTTGTGGGGGGCCAGCTATATTTTGAAGGGAAAAAATGAACGAATTCCACAACACATTCTACTCATGTAAAAACTGCTGATTCTTGGACCATCTGTGGGCCGGATTTAGAAGACAATTGGGTCAGATCCAGCCCCCAGGCCTCAGTTTGCCTACCAATGCCCTAACCCGAACCCGAACCCAACCTCGAACCCTAACCCCAACCCTAAATCGTAAACCCTAACCCTTACTGTTTGGGGTTAGAGGTGAGACTCAGAGTCTAGGGTAGGGATTTAGGGTTTAGGATTTAGGGGCTGGGGCTAGGGCTAGGGTGAGGGTTAAGGGGTTAGGGGTTAGGTCTAGGGGTTGGGTTTGGGGTCATTTTTAAATGGGGTCAATTTAGGGGTCCTAGCCCCTAAATCCTAAATCCTAACCCTAAAGCCCTACCCTAGACTCTGACCCCTCACCCCAAACAGCTAAGGAGACGCCTAAGGAGGATAAAAAAATACTCCTGGGTGATTTTAATGCAAGAGTTGTGATGCATTTCGATCTGTGACCTGGGAAAATTGGGAAAGAAGGAATTGGCAACAGCAACCAATACGGAATCTTACTTTTGACTATATGTGCAGCGCACAACCTTATTATTACCTATAACAAGCACCCTCGGTCGAACCACTGGCACCTCTTTGACTATGTAATTGTCTGAGCTGAAGATTGCCGTGATGTGCTCATCTATGACAAGTGCTGACAACTGCAGGACAGATCACAGATTAATACATTTCATGATGGCTATCAAGATTATACCTCAACAAAGTCTTCAGGGAAGGAAACCAAGGTGCAAAATGAACACTCAAGCTCTTCAAGATCCTATTAAACGGGATTGCTTCCAAACGACTCTTAAGGACCATCTGCTTTTGGAGTTCCTTGATAACATCGAGGAACACTGGACAATGCTAAAAACATCTATTATTGTAGCCTGTTGGGTACCAAATCAAGGACTGGTTTCATAAGAATGACAGTGAGATTGAAAGGAAGGCCTTTCAGATCTAGCAAAAAGATAGAAACTGTGCCACTAAGGGGGGGAAAAAAAACTTCCCCTACATGTTGTTTATTGACCTGACTAAGGCCTTTGACACTGTACATTGTAATGCCTTGTAGGTTGTCCTTCTGAAAATTGGCTGCCCATATAAATTTGTGAACATCCTTTGGCTCCTCTGTGATAATATGACAGCAACAATCACAGATAACAATGGCTCTCAAAGCGAACCATTCACAGTGGCCTCAGGTGTTAACAAGGGTTGTGTTCTATTATTTTCATTGCCATGAAAATTGCCACGTCTATTATTTTCATTGCCATAAAAACTCCCCTACGGAGTAGAAATAACGTATCAAAAGATGGAAAGCTCTTTGAGTAAGTTGAAAGCAAAGGGTAAGGTTACCATAACTTCCGTCATAGAGCTTTAGTATGCTGATGACAACATAGTGTGTGCATACTCAGAGGATGACCTCCAAACCATCCTCATTACCTTTGCAGAAGTTTACGAATAGCTTGGCCTATTGCTCAACATCCGCAAAACCAAAGTGCTTGCACCAAAAAGCACAAAACAACCAGCACAAAACAACCCCTCTGCAGCACCACAAATGTTGGAAAGTGTGTATCACTTTTCCTACCTGGGCAGTTGATACCAAAATCCAGCATCACCTGAGCTCTGCGAGTGCAGCTTTCTCCCAACTGAAGTGCAGAGGATCGGGACATTTGCAGGGAAATCAAAATGCTTGTTTACAAAGCTATTGTATGCTTGTGAAACATGGATATGGTGTCTCCGAAAAATGTTACACATCACTTGGGAAGACAGTGTACTGGAAGCAGTAATGATTCTTCAACATCAAATTTGTTGGAATGGTCATGTTGTTCAGATGCCTCATTAGTCTTCCAAAGCAACTATTCTATTCCAAACTTAAAAATGGAAAGTGTAATGCACTTTCAACAAAAGAGGTTTAAAGGCAAATATAAAAAGATGTATTATAAACACTGACAACTGGGAAACACTGGCCTGTGAGCACTCCAATTAGAGAACAGCCTTTACCAAAGGTGTTATGGACTCTGAAGATGCTCAAACTTAGGAAGAAAGGGAGGAACGTGCTAAAAGGAAGTCATGTTTGGCAAACCCTCATCGTGACCAACTCCCGCCCGGAAACCTGTCCCCACTGTGGAAGGACGTGTGGATCCAGAATTACCAACTCACTGTTAAGACCATGTTCATGGCTATGAGTGATTGCCAAAGATGATGAAGCAGCAGCAGCTCATGAGGCCCTGTAACTCATTTAAAGTAGCTAAAGTAGCCTAATCTTGGGCTACAGTTCTTTCCTTGCATCATCTGTTGTTATCATCCGTTTCCTTTTGGGTGAAGACAGAGACAACGCAGGCATCGAGCAGTTTCACCATCTGTCATCCATTAGCATTTCTACATCTTCTCCATGCAGAGGACCTACTACTTGCTTGCTACATATGCGTAGAAAGAAGACGAATAAGCCGAATCACAACCAATCAAAGTAAGAAGGTGTTTTGGGTTCCATCTACATAAAAAGATCATAAAGTTCTGATTGAGCTAATTTCAAATTGGTGTTTTGGGGGTTAGAATGCACATTCACTCAAAAATCGCAGAGTGACATGTTTGTTATCAGCCCAAACCAAGCATGGGTGTTTTGGGTCAATCTCAATAGAAAGAGGACAAATAAGCTTGGATTGTTCTTTCGGTGTTTATTCACCCACAAATAGCAACGCGAACTGCAATAAGCCTAAACAAAGCCAAACAGGTTGTTTTGATTTCCAGCTGCATAGAAAGAAGAATCTTGGATTTCGCTTATTTCGTGTTCTTTGGTGTTAATGCACATTGACCCAGAAATCGAAAAGTGTGTGTATGCAGACCAAAATAACACACCATCTTTCGCCAAACAGGATGTTTTGATTTCCAGCTACATAGAAAGAAGAATATTTGATTTCGCTTATTTCTTGTTCTTTGGTGTTGATGCACATTGACCCAGAAATCGCAAAGTGTGTCTATGCAGACCAAAATAACACAACACTGTATTTTCGCTTCCATATGCGTAGAAAGAAGACGAAGCAACTTTGATTGGGCTTATTTCAATTCGAATGGTGTTTTTAGGGTGTGCACCAGAATCACCAG